ATGGAGCATTTCTGCATCCCTTTTTCTGCTGACTCTAAGAAATCCAAACCTAAAGCGAACTGCGGCATGTGTTACACCTAAGGGAGCATTTTATTTTATTTTATTATTTATATTTATGAAGATTTTTTTTCATAGAATAAAAGACAAATTGAAAGAAAAAAAGAGGAAAGAAAGAAATTGCAAAAAACGAAAAAGAAAAAACCCTAAAGTTAAGAAATAGATGAATGACTTCTGATTTCTTTTCAACAGATAATTACAATCTTATTGTCCCTCCTCCCTCTTAAATGTTATACAAGTCCCTTCAGCCCTTCATTTAATCCATGTCTTTCTTAATCTTCAAATCCATTAATCATCATTTAATTTCTTTCTTCTTTTAACAAAAAGAATTTTGTCTGTCCCCTCTGTGGCCTGCAGAGAGCAAGCCAGTGCATGGCCTTGGATGAAATGAACTTGCAGACAGTTGCTGCAGTTCTAGAATTTCCCAGATGTTCTCAAGAGAAGAAGACTGGTATCCCAGGGCAGCTACAGGTCCCATGACAAAGCAAGTGTGACTGTGGTCACTCCAGCTTCAGTACAACCTGCTGCCTTGAGAAGCCTCCTTTTCTTACAGATGGTGAGCTCAGTGGGCTGGTTGGGGTAACTGGATTGAAGTACCGGAGTTGCAATATCCTGTGCTGCCTCATTGAAGGAAGAGAGGATCATAAAGGGGTGGGCTGGGGGAAAATCACATCCACCAGATATGCCTCAACCTTAAGCAAAAGGTCATCAACAGATGCTCTTAAAATACACTAATTTTAGGGACCCCCTTCACACTGATGGTAACCTACATCAAATATGCATATCATACTACAAATTCTGGACTCTCTTTCTCTCCTGGAGCAAGTTGCAGGGTATTTTTGCTGGGAGGAGGAAATTCTCCATCTAAGCACCTTCAATGGCTGCAGAAACAGGGAATTCTTTCATTTGACTTCCAATCTTTACAAACAATTGCATATTAAATAATTTCCTACTTATAAAACTCTTGCCTTTTTGCTCTGCTGTGTCTTCTGACTACTTGCCTTCTGTATTCTAGTGCCCGGTGCTCCTAATTTTGGGACAAACATTATTCTCAAGAAAGTCACTGCAGG